AGAAAAAATTGTTGATCTTGTGAGATTATATAAAAGTATAGATCATAATTCTGTAAAAAATTATATTATATAAATATTATAATCAGCAAGGAGGAGTATTGAAAGAATTAAATGTAGTCGAAGCTCTCTATAATATTTAGTGTAATTTATGGTAAATACTATAACTATAGTATTTGGAATATAGTCGAGAGGAACTATTTATCCTCTCCCCTTCTCTTCTTGTATACGAGATACAACCAAATTAATAGATTTTTATGTGTAAAGCTCTCTCTCCTTAGAAACCCTCTTGTATGTATTACTTACTATTACTCTTCTGTATGTGTGTATTACTTACTACTACTCTTATGTCTTTCTAAACATTCTCAACATTTTTAATGCAACATGGATACATGGATAGAGGTAATCAATCTCCCTTTAGAATGGTTGAGGATTTAGGGTTGAGATTTTAGGGTAAGATTCAAGCCAATGAATCTTATCAATGATATTTAGCGCTTTTATTTCTTTGTTGACTCTATAGTTTAAAGTTGTTTTTTTATTTGTAAATTGGTTTTTAGTTGACTATTGTAATGTATGAATTATTTTTAGTAAATATTATTTTTTATTCTATTTTTATTTATTTATAGAATAATAAAAAATTTCAGTTGTATAGTAGAGAAAGGATTTTTTGGAGTCCTTTGAAAAATATATGAATACAAACAAATCAAACATTTTTTATCGTAATTTCTTTATCTTTTCTAATTTGTTCTTAATAATGGTAGATATATTTCTATTGCCACTCTTATTGATTAAATTCATATATACATATATATATATATATATATATATATATATATTAATTTTTTAATAATATATAAGAACTTCATAAAAACATTAGAAGTCCCACAATCAATTATTTGGAGGTGACTTCAAATCTTTTTTCAGGTTTATATTTACAAGAGTATTAGACATCTAACTGGCAACTTATTTAATATTCATATTGATTACTTTTTGTTTTGAAATGTAAACAAAGAGTAGTTGTTGTTAATTAAAATTAATTATTTTTTATTTTTATTTTTATTTTTTATCTTACTATATTTTTATTTCCTAACAAAATTGGTTCATTGTCTTTTTTTCCTTACTTTCACGGATACTTAAATGCTAGGTAATCATTGTTGCAAACACTTGATTTACTAACTTGATATGAATAGAATATATCAACAATAGTTATTTATGCTTGCTTATTACATAATGGACGTGAATGATGAACAAGAACCCAATGTCAAAGACATGCATTACAAACAATTTAAATATCAATTCTCTCTTGTATTACTAAATAAGAATACATAATGACATAAAGATTATATAATATTAAAACAAGAATAACTATTACTAAAAAAATAAAAATAAAAAAATAAAAAAATAGCCTTTTGTAACAAGACTAAGTACTAAGAAGGCATTGACAAAGGCGAAGATGGCCTCACTGATGTCTCTATATATACTATTTTATTATAAAGTTATGTGACAATGTCTTATAAAACTTTCAACACATGTCCAACTCGTAAGATATATGTCTTATTTACAAGACAAGTTTCTTATATGAGTATCACATAGTGTCAAGGACATAAACCTCAAAGAATTGAAAGATCAAAATACTCTTATAACACTCAAAAAAACTAATTAATCACTCAAAGATGGTATAATGTTAAATTAGAATGGCTATTGCCAAAGACAAAAAGAATAAGAAGACTTGAAACAAGACTAAAGACTATAAAGACATTGATGAGAATAAAAAAGGCTTTATACTTACTTCCACATATACTATCTAATTAAAAGCTATGTGGTGACATTCCATAGGACCTTTGATACATGTCTAAATTACGAGATGTATATCTTAACTTGTAAAGCAAGTTTTTTATATGAGCACCACAAAGTTAGCTTATTCCACAAGCTATCAATACGTGTGACATGTGGTTGACTTGTTGACCAAGTTTTTAATCTATCAATCAACTACAAATATGTGTACAGTCAAAGTTACATCTTTAAAGCATCTAAAAAGCTTTTTCATAAGATATTATTTAATTATTTTATTTTTATTTACTTCTACCTAATCATATATATAATTATTAAAATAAATAATTACCAACTCTATCCCTCACTCTGATACTTGCAAATATTCGACGTTGGAAGGTTTGTTGAGGAGAAAATGGATTCTTAGAATAGGTGCTGCTCGGATTCTAGACCAGTTAGTACCGTGAGTAGGAGTGAGCCTCCTTCCAGATAACCGGCTCCTCTCGAGGAGACCTTCAAACGGAGATGAATGTCCGTCATTTGGAGACAGTCATGTTGACATACAATCGGAGAGAAGGTTCACGCAGGATCTGCATGAACTAGATGTAGACAAGTCTTTTTTGCACGAGAACTGGAAATGAATAAGTTTGGTATTTTAGACTGCCGAGTTGATTTCCATGGAAGACATTAAACACCAGGATTTGACAGACAGAGCCATAGCTGTAATCACCTTGCAGGTAATGGTCAGATGAAAGTGGGAGATGCTGACAAATCTTACGCTAGGCACCCGCTGTTGTCTCGTGATGCTGAATGGGGCAATGAGTCTTTCGGGGAGTCTCTCACCATGGGAATTTCGTGATTCCGAAGAGAACTCGCGGCGCGATTTCTTAAAGAAGAGATCCGGAATTGTGTCCCACGGTTGTTTTTTCCCAGCAGTCTTTGGAATGGGGTGATTGTGTGAGGAAGAAATAAATTCACACTGACAATGCCCAGAGAAAGAGTATGAGTTTACCTGGCAGGAAAACAGAAAAATTATGCTCACTTCGATGGCAAACCTATTGAAGTGAGCTGTAACATCTGATACCCCTCGTTTTGATTCCAGTGAGGACGAGGATGAGAGAGAGAGAGCGCAGGAATTGCGAAGTAGTGCTGCAAGTCACCTTGAATACGAGGAAGCGCAGACTCAAAAGGGTATTTGCAGGACATCTAAAGTGTGCAGTGTTGATGAGCAAATGAGAAAAGAACTCGGTCTCATGATGACCCCGAGGATATCGATGAGAGGGCTGGATACAACGAAAAATCACGGAATCTAGACCAGTCTGACAACAAAAGTGGAACAGTTCTAGCGAATTCGTTTGTCAATTCTTCTCATTATAATTGAGGAGGCTCTCAAAGTCATAACGACAGCTCCATCAAACCCTCCTCCACCAGATAGTGAAGGCACAGATCCAACAGACCTTACAAGATCGCCGACACTGTTTGCTGATTCTGAGTTCCTTGAAACCTCCGCCTCCGCCTCCACCTCCACCTCGTCCTCCACATGCTTCTCCCAGACCATGTTTGCCGCAAGCTGGGAAGAACTAAGGCTGACCCTGCTCCGAATTTTTCCCAAAATGTAAGTTTTGTTGTGTGCAGTAAGGTTTTAAGACGTAGGTTCTTGTCATGGATGTGTATTGAGGTGGTTAGGGATATGCCATTTCTTGTTCGGTGTATCTATGTTTGTGTAATCCCTTGTTCCACTTTGCACAACCTTCGAATTACTGCTTCCATTTTTTAAAAAAATTGAAACTCTTTTTTTTGAAATTTAAAAGACAATGCAAGTGGAGCATTGATCTTTGTGACTTTTGGTTGTTTTTTAAACATCAATTGGAATATTACTATACATTTACAATGATACCAAATACTAGAAGGATTAGGGCAAGAGCAAAAAAAAATCTAGTGAGTCTTACAATGAAAGAGGCAAAGTCTGAAATTGTCTAGGGATAAGCTCTTCCCCTTGACAAATTGTAAATTTACTCTAATTTTGCATGGAGATGATCCAAGTTGAAAAAGACTTTGTTTGTATGCTCTATTAACTTTGTTTTCAATATGATATATTTTGAAAATGTGTAATTTATTCAAAATGTGACATTAATTTTGACAATGACAATTATAAACAATCAAAAAATTACAAAAAAAATCTTAATAATTAAAATATTAATTTTTTTGAAACTAAAATTTATTCTACTGTAAAAATTATTATTATAGAAAAAAATAATTTCACAAAAATTTAATAATTTTTAATTTATATTGAAATAATGATTTACCTTCCAAATTATTTTTTTTAACATAATTTAATTCTATCATCTCTTTATTAATAAATTTATGAGATTTTCACTAAATTCCTTTTACATTTACAACATCCAAAATCTCTCTCTCTCTCTCTCTCTCTCTCTTATATATATATTATTTTATTATAAATTTCATTTGATTTGTTTATATATTGACTTAATTGAGATATATACCTCCAATTTGTTTACATCTTCAAAAATGCAATAAATAAGAGTTATTATAAAAACCAACAAACATAAAGCCCCATTATAATTAACTTCAGTGGTTGTGAATTTATTTCTAAGTAATGTATGTTTTAACTTCTTTAACTTTAAGTGTTTATTAAAATGATAATTTCTTTATTTCAAATTATTGTTAAAAGTTGAAATTTCTATAAAATTAAATAAAAACCTTGGTTTAACAAAAGTAATTTTCCTATATGAATATATAATTAGATAACCTGTAATTGTTTAAATGCACCTAGGTGATTAGTTGTTATAATAAATTGATCATTTTCAATTTACCAGTCTATATACTTTTTTTGTTATTATAAGTTTAACAGAAACTTGATGTTGAATTTATTTGTATTTTTTTTGAACTTAATATGTTACATTCTTTAATTATTATTTTAAATAATAATTTATATTGTATTTATTACTATTCAATACAATAGACAATATTACTTAATGTAAAAAGGGTAGAACAGCATGCTTTGCACATATTACTGGCTTGACAAACTTATATGGTGGTACAATGTTACCATATAACAGGAGTCCCATACATTTTTATCACCACTCAATGATTCAGGCAAGAGGAAGAAATTCAATCAATCATTTAATCCATGAAAGATTATTAACTAAGACGAGAGATCCATTCTAATAATAAAGTCTTGCACTCTGTAGGAATGCACCAATACAAAATTGTCCAGTTAATCAAGCGGTGGCCTTTTATAAGGATCTTCTGTACATATAGAAAATAGTTTACAGGGATGAGAGATGTCAATACGATTGACAGCAGGTAATGTAAGAGACACTGACAAAATGAAAAAATTGAGGTATGCTTTCATGGTAAAAGTCTGCTACCATAGTCAGCCAACAATCTGCTTGTATCAACAAATGAATCGAGAATTCTTACTCATGTGCCTAACTGTTCTATATCCATAATGTTGCTGGATTCCATCTACACCATCAAGAAATATCAGTAAGAAATCTCCGCTCTTACAACCGCGTCCAAACCTACTGCACTACCTAATCCAGGAGTACAAGTACTACGTTTTACAGCTTCACGCATGATGAATTATTGTGCCCGTGAATTCCATTGCTCCATCAACATTAGCCCCCCTACAACTGAAAGGAGGTTCCGACTCAGATATTGCATTGAACACTTTTTTTAAATGCGGGAAACAGATTAAAGATCCTGGCGCATGGAAACCAACATTCACAAGACTACCCTAGACTTCATTTACGCCTACGAAAACCTTCAACCACTCCTCTTCCATGGTGCTTCTAATATTCATCAACCAGAAATGAGATTGGGTACGTGAGCTGTACCTTGACTGATCATCGTTCTTGTGCGTAGGGAGCTGTTATGAATCTAGGACTTCAGAGAACTAGATTACGAGGCTGACACCCAGGTATGAGTAGAACAAACAGACATCCGTTCACAATCTCTCCTCCAGGGATGTCGTGGTAGGATGTGTGGACTGTTGATGCGCAATGAAGGGCTCAACTTTCGACCTCAAACTTCTTTGAATTAGGGATAGATGAGCATTCACGGTATCGACCAGATGCTCTTCAGAATATCCAATCTGGTGACTAGCAGATTCATCAACGGGATTAACGTCTTCCTGAGTTTCAAATGATGCCAGACTTTGGAATACGGCCTCGGCGCGTTGTTGTAGGTTATGAATCTCTACTGCAGTCGGCCTTCTGTTGTACAGAGGGTTATCAGTTACTATGTCAGGACTTTTCTCTGAGGTCAACCCCTGCATAATCAGCATAAGTACATGTCAAGGCTCCACTCCCAACTTGTGTGTTAGTTTAGAGAAATGTAGAATTCTAGTTGAATAGGAAGATCACCCAAATGCTTGTACTGACGGGACTAAATCCGCACCATTTGCTTAGCAAGAAAACCAACTTTTCCCGTCAATGCTGCGTATCGCTTATTAATTCTCTTTGAAGGGGTGATTTTGGGCATGGATTCAGCGTTGGAGTTAAAATTCACAGCCAATTGACCAATGTCGTTCCTTTTGTCAATTTGGAGTATTTGTGCTTCAATATTCTGCAACTCCAACGCCAAGCCTAAGACATGAGTATCCTCCCTGGACTTCTTGAACTCCTTGCTGCACAACCACTAAGTCTTTCAGGACAACGTTCCATTTACCAGAGACTAGACATGCCATGTGAAAGAAAAAATCATGAAGACACTTCCGAATACGACCATGGGAGAAGTGTTCACCTTCTCCTCTTTATTTTATCGAAGTTCGGAGCCGCTCTTTGTGAAAGATTGGTCACATCTATACCTGGATTTCTCTGTTGGGGAGAGATTTCCGAAAGGGTGTTTTTCTCAACTTGTAGGACACTCTGACTTGAAAACCTCGAGATAATCTTCTTTGAATTCTGTTATGTGCGCAAAATCATCGTCGAGGCGTCAAATTTCATCAAAGAGTACACTAATATTCACAATGCTTGGACGATCAGTTTACAAGGGACCATGAAGTTTTAAAAAGGAATAGACAGGACGCACTTGTATATTACCATGTTTGAGGGCGGGACTTGAAAAATATTCTCCACGGCCAACTCAGGGGGCGAATCGAGGAAGAATTCCTTAAGTGTTTTCCTCCTGTCAGTCTTCGAAGAACTTACTGCCCTCCCCATCAACACCCCTACATCTGTGACCTCGCCACTGTCTGTGATCTTCACTACATCAGAGTTTGATTCTAGAAGAATCATACCACCGTCGCTGGGATTTCTTTTCGAAGTGATTTCGGCCTCAGTATCTAAGGATATATAATCGTCTGATACTTCTGCCTCGGGAGCCCCTAAAATAGAACAAATAACATACATAATAAATAAATAAAACAAATAAAATAAATAAAAAGTTCGTTAAAAAGAAGACAAGTGCGGGAAACAAATACAGAACATGTCACAACAGGAAGGAATGTGAGTCGAAAATTTAGCGAACCTGAAGTTGATGCTTCATCAACAGGAAATTGAGGTTGGTCAAGAAAAACTTGATCCGCAGCTGGTACCAAAGAATTGCTACTTGAAAGGTTCTGTGATGCCAGCCTAATAGGTTCAAGATGCAAGATGGTTGGCTGGTAATCATTGAACAAAGTAGCCCTAGTATCATCTAGCCCCTTAATAGAAATTGCGTTCTTCAGCAAAGACAGTTTTTTCCCTGAGTTTGAAACCGCTGTGGCTTGGTGACAAAGTTCCTCTAGACTAGTATAATTGTCATTCGATTCCATCATTTGCTTTCGAACCTCCGAAACTTTTTCAGCTAATTTCTCTACTTCAATGCATGCACTGCTTATTGCATTCTTGACATCCATCTCCTGAGCTCTAGCGACTGCAACCTTGTATACTTTTTCAGGAACAGTCTGCACATGTTATAAGACGACTAGAGTTAGGCTCGAGTTTTATAAGCACATTTCTGAATTCACGTCAGATAAAATCTGCTTCATACTCATGGTATGAAATGACGAGGCACCTATGAGAAACTGCTCTTCAGTCTCAGAGAAGCATAGAAAGTAAATACCTGTACGATCAACTGAAAATAAGAACAATCATCGTAACCCACGCCAAGCAGTTCAGGATTCTAAATAGGAACCGCATTTAGCGATGGCAACTTAAAACCCCACTTGACAATCCAAGCTCTGGAAGTAGGATACCTCTCCAGGAAGACCGTTAGAGGCTCCATCAGGCCTGAAACGTTTATCGTTGTGACTCTGAATTATTAGCTGGCACAACCTAGCCTCCACAACAGCCAAATGATGATCCTTTTGCCTGATCTCTGCTTCGCAATCCTCTGAGACTTTCAACAGATTCTTTCGGTGCTTAACTTCAGCCTCCTCTAATTTCTTCCTGTACACAGGCACGATGTTAGATGTTCGAGAATTTCCAGAATCACTATCCTCTATTGCTTGTGGGGAAGTTGAATTATGCGGAGGTGATATTTCTGTTAATAGGTGCATAAACGAAAACGTACTTGGCATCGTTGAGCTCTTTATGTAACAAAACCAGAACTTTCTGCTGAGCTTCTTGTGGGCTTAGCTTCTCCAAACAGGAATCAGGGAATGATAGGTCCTCACAATTTGGCAACACAGTTTTCATCAATGCACGTAACTCCGTGTCCTTCACTTCAACTGCTCTCTCTGCCCTACACTTCTCATCAACGGCAATTGCCAACCTGCTTTTCAGCATCTCAAGCTCCGATTTTAGTTTGCTGCATTCGGACTCCATACTCAGCAACTGCCAACGGAAAGACTCAACCCTCTCGTCTTTTAGCCTCATCTGTCTTTCAAACGCATCAATCTCTCGCCAATGCCGTTGCTCTAAATGTTGAGCGTGGTGAGACTTCACAGCTTCAAGCCACTGCTCCAGCCAATCTTTCAAAGATGCAGCAGTCACTGGAACCTCTGCTATGCACCAAATAGAACATTGTGAATATGACGAAGGTTGTGCAGGATGTTAGAGGAATGACTAATGAAGTGAAGGATCTGAAATTTCTATGATTGCATGTGGTTGATTCTAGGAATGTGACAATAGCCGCTTCGGAAACAGAAAGGGGCAAACAAAATATATTCTGTACACAGTTCTTGTTCATTGGAAGGGACAGGAAGGATGCTCACCTTGAATTTCAGGATTGAACCGTTTGAAGAGCATCATATCCACCTCAGGCGCGACAGACTCTAGAAGTGTCACCAAATCATAGCGATTATCACACTCTTTTGCATTCACACAAGCTAGATTTGGAACTTCCTGCTTCGGTTTCCGCTTCTGATTCACTACGCTATGAACCACGATTTTTGATTCCAGCAATGCCACCTTCTCTTCATAACTATTCAGCTGCTCTTGGAGCGCTTCCAACTTGGTCATGTACATAGATTTAAGGCCGTGAACCTCCTCATCACAACTTCTTCGAATCTCAGATAGTTTGTCCAACTCAGTTTTGCTACCCAAGCTGCGCCTTGATTTCAGGGCGTTCGATCCTGAAGAGCAGGTGCGTGCGCGTTCCTCGGCCAGCCTCTTCCACCTATCTTTCTCATACTCAGCTGCTTTACGCTTGGACTTGACATGGGCAAGTTCAAGCAGAAGATCCTCTCTTTCTTTTCGGTCGATGTCGGACTTCTTCAATATCACAGAAATGACCTCCTCCTTGTCATCAATATCTTTTTGGAGTTTTAAAAGGTCGTCCGAAAGCTCCTCAACCATAACATTTTTTTTGACATTCGCTTCAGACATAGATTTAACCTCTCCAGTCATACTTGCAAGGTCTGCAGTTGCACACTTCAGCATGCGCTCTGCCTCTTCGTGCTTGTCTGAGATATCCGCAATCACCGCCTGTAATTCCCTATTCTTCGCCGTCTCTTTTGAAATCTTCTCCTTCAAATTCGAGACACATGACTCCATCATGGCCAGCTTTCCAGCTAATTGGTTGCGCTCACGCTGATCGGACCGAGCTTCGTCCGATGCAGCAGCCAGAAGGAATTCTTTCTCGCAAAGCTTGTCCTCGAGCTTCTCAAGTTCCTGCACTTTTAATCTGCACTCTTCGCATCCTTTCCCCTCATCAACTTTGCGTACATTACGTTTACGTATGACAACAATCTCGTTCCTAAGAAGTTCAATCTCTCGTTTGAGCTTCTTCTTCTCGTTTATCCAAGCCTGTTCGTGAGAGGCAAAGATACCGACGACTTTTTCGTTGGCCTTGGCGTCCTCGTGTCGACATTTTTTAACACTTTCAATTTGTGCTTCGGCAAGAGACAACCTCTGTACGAGGGTTCGTCGTTCGGCATCCCACGCTTCAGCATCTTTGCGAGTACCTTCCTTGCCGTCTATTACCTTCTTCTCCAATTCCTGTGCATTGAGGGCGAGCAACTGTAGTCGGTCCATGGCATTCTTTAACATAACTTGCAGCCCCACTCTTTGGAATTTCGGGTTGAGCTCGAGATGTGGCGTTCCTTTTTTACCACGGATGAGCCCCCCAAGTGCAGCAAATGTAAGTGCTACACTGAAATATTCTGACAAAATTGGCAGCTGTTCACCGTTCGCGTCGCAAACAAACTTCATCATGTAATCCTTGGGGTGGGACGTGAGTTCAAACAGAGAGCCCGCTATTTCAGAATGAATGTCATCTTGCGAGTGAGAGGCAATCGGCATCTCGTTCGCCAGCGGATCGTCCATATTGCAAGAAGTGACGTCGTCTCCCCCAGAGCACATACTGATGGTCCGCGCACAGTTACAGATGTTGCTTCGGTAGCCTGGACACAGTGAGAGTGAGGCAATGAGATAAAACCTATCGGAGGCGATAACAGACTTAACGAAAATTTTCCAACTTCCTTCATGGTGGTGACCAATGGAGTGAATTTGTTAAGGAAAAAAAGAATTCAAATGCAGAACGTCTTCAGAAAGCCAGGTGTAGATTGAGGCAATGGACTGGGTGAGGAGAGTTCTCAGACCTAGACTTGAATGTTGCGCACCCGCCGACCAGGTTCGGCTGTTTTAATTACAGACCTCGTCGCAGAATGCTCCATTCACGATGTCGGAGTCTATCTTCCTCCTCGCTGAAGAGATATTGATGTATTCGCTGACAAATAAAAGAAATCGTGAACATCTTGACGACACTTGTCCGTGCATGGTCTGACTAATGGACTAAAGAGGGGCGCGTCTTAGCATGGCCTATAGCTGCTTCCGATCGTATGAATATTTGAGAAACACAACAGTCACAAACTACCATGGCAACACACGAGCTCAGAAAGCAACTCGGACTTCTTTCGTTACAGATGTATCATGTAAGAGGCTTGCACCATGCGTCTCATACAACACTGTGCCAGCTATAACGTCTCTCTGTACTGCTCAAATTTGGGCCAAAAAGCTCCGCCGTTCTTGCCAGTAGTGCAGAACAGGCCGTATGAAAGACACTATCTTCTTCCTGATGGAGCCACAGATTACTGCTCCGAAAAGCGAACACACTGTTCAACCTGTCCATCATCCTGCAAGACGTTGGAACCAAGACTCTTCAACCAACATTAACCAGACATATACTCTAAACTCTGACAAAGTAACACATGCCCCTCCCGACAGGGCCTGCCAACCCAGTGTAGCGTAAGTCCACCTTCCTGCACAATGTAGCAGACGACACTGCCGACAAGAATTGAGTTCGAACAACGACGCTGATCACAACTTCTCCAGAGGCATGAACAAGATTTCACTTATCTACCTTACAATATTCATCGTCCTACAGGCTTCAGGTGGTCTAACGTGGTACAATTCGAGTTGGAAGCTCTTCAATAATACGACCAGCATACCGTCAATGCATGGACTATTCTAAGTGCAAATGCCATTTCAGTTCGCTGGCGAGACGCAACTCTGCACTCAAACGCTAGCCTCTCCAACAACCGCAAGACAGTTATAAACAATTAAATGAATAGAGACCTCACAATGGGATAATAAGCGGAGATAGCATCAGGACTCTACCTCGCCAGACAACGCACACGATAAAGAGTGCGCGGAGACAGACATGGGCATGCCAGCAGTTGATAAAATTCCGCACTTTGTTCCCCGCTTCTAATGCTCCAATGGAACTTAAACTCAAGGCTTCCGCTTATCACCAACCACATGAAGACTACAGGACCGCCCTCTATCAAAAACGACACAAGAAGCGAACAGTACAAACTAACGGAGCTACGAACGGTCTCTCGCTCGGCAAACGGAGAGTCCCCGAAATGCCCAACGAGCATCGCCAGATTAAAAAATAGACGAATGCCGATGTTACCGCCCAAACATCTGCGAAGAAAAGTTCCAATCTGGCGGGATATGCACGGCTGCATCCAACGTACACCCCCTCAACCTTTTCACGAACAATTATCAAAAATTGAAATCCACACACCTCCAATCCCCCGAACATCTTCCTTATGAATTCCAGCTACATGCCACCACGCAGCACTGCTGCACCACATTGCGCGGAACTGGGACGAAAAATTCCCAAGTAAACAGTCCTGGCCGTATACGGGACGCCTCATCACTCTCTTTCTTCTAGAGAAGCTACAGATTCCGACTCCACAGAGGGTTAATGTAGTACGTAACAATCCAACCACGGGCTCCTCGACGACGACCCCAATCGAGGAAGACGAGGAACGTTCATGGCGTCGTCTTCTACGTAGCCTCCCCTTCTTTCCATACGTGAGGTTACGATCTGTTGAGGGGTATCCATCTGACGGACATGCAGTACGTCTTTCCCGAACACCGGAAAGACGGCGGCACCGGGTCTCACGAGGCCGGATCTTCGAAATGGTAGATTGAAGTTTTACCGTTTGCTCGTTATCCATGCATCCAATGGCAGCGGCGTAACTAGAATTTGAATTCGGATGCACTTGCCGTCTGCGCGCTCTCTTGCCTCGTGTGAAGCTCCCAAGGGAGTGGGGGCTCCCCAATGAGCCACGTCTTGGTTGGGGTTCTGCCACTTTTTGAATTTCGGAATCAACTTTTTGTGCTCAAGTTTGAATATAATCTGAGGAACGTTAAATTAAAACTATTTTATTTTAATTTTTAATTTTTAAAAAGAAAACATGTTTGGGAGTCCTAACCTCGAATTTATTACCCCTGATTTGACTTCCTGATGAGGTTGGAGAATTTGTTTTGCTGTGGAGGATGGGGTGGCTTTAGTAATGCCTCAGATTCGTGAGTGTTGACTGAACTTGGGCTTATTTACAGGCGTGGTTACAGGTGCTTCTTTCCACAGGTTCTGATCACCGTTGCCAACAATAACTTTGATGACAACAGGGATCTTGTATTGCAATGTGTAAATTTAAAGGATCAGTAGTTCTCACGTAGGCATTTTAATTCTTTGCCTTCTTATCTACAGACTTTAAGTCTTTTAATTTTCACCATTATTAAAACTCGGAATTGCATAAACTAACTTGCTTGAAGACTAGCTAATTTTGCAGATTGTGTGTGATTTACAAAATAAAGCATTTAAATGAATCAAAAATGTAATTCAAAATTCACAAAACACAAGTATATTTAAAAATTGGCACATATCCATTGACGATTTGGATCTTGAATTTTTTGTGGATTGAAAACTGAATGTATAAATGTAACTAAACATATAATATACAACTCAAATATCTTTGGAAATAGGAATTTATTTTAACTATTTGTATGAGAAAATATATAATTAATTTCAAATATCAAATTAATTTTAAATCAGCACTTGTGATGTACCAAACTTTAACAATAAAATAACTTTACAAATATATACTATTAGAAACTAAAGCAGGGTATTTATTTTTAAACATAATTTAATTTTTGTATTATAGTTAATTAAACTTCACAATATTCATTTGGTTTATTTTGTTTATAAATTTGAGTTAGACTACTAAATTATAGATTGTAAAGTTCATTATGGAGACATTTTATTTTAAAAGAGAACCAAGACATATTTATTGAAAATTTGTAATTTAAACAAACTCTTTTGTTTTAATATGTAGAGTATAATTTTTCATTGTAATATATTTATTATAATAGTTGATGATTTTATTTTCATTTTTCTTAGACAATTTAAAATACGAAATTAATTTTAATTAATTTTACATACTATTAACATTATATCCAACTTTCTTGTTTTATTGAACATATATGTATGCTAATGCAAAAATAGATTTATTTATATACAATATCAAAGCATCATAAAATAAGATAACATATCTTAAATTAAGCTTTGTATATTTTTAATTTATTTAAATAAAAAAGTAAAAAATATTAAAAACTTATTCTAAGATCTTATTATTTATTTCAAATTTTAAAATATTAATAATACATAATGATAGAAATAACTAACATTTATATTTTTTTAATATATATATATATATATATATATATATATATATATTCATGTCCAAAATAGATTTATATTGGTAGAAAAATAATGCAAAACTAACATAACATAAAAGTTCTTAAATAATTAAATATTTTAACATTGACATTTTATTAAAAAATAATAATAAATTAACATTAAATATTTTGATTAATTTAATACTAGATCTAGATCAATAGAATCCAAGCAATACAAAAAATCCTACCTAACAAATCTAAAGCAAGTAAGAAATATCCAACCCACATAAAAATCAGACATTGTAGCTAAATTAATATTTAGATTTTAAAACATAAGAATTTCAAGGAGATTATAAATACTTGATCCACCTGAGAATCAAACACTTAATCTAGATCAAATTAAAAGAAGATAATAAGAAGCAACAACTTAAGTAAAGGATGATAGCCCTCGTACTTCAATAGCAATAATATAAGTGTGTAAAAAGACTACTTTAAAGTGATTTCTTTCTATATTATCATTATTATTTTATTAAATCAAATTCTCATCTAAACAACTTTGTTAAGCTTTAATCTTTATATTTTGAATATTTTTCTTTTATCTTTTATATTTTCATTGAAGTTATGTTGTATATAGCTTGGCTTCGAGCTATGGTCAACATGGAATTCTTAACTATATAGATTTTGTCCTTATTTCTATAATTTTTTTAATCCAATTATTTTAGAAATTAAATAATATTAAATTAATATTATAAATTTTCATTTCATATAAATTAATATTATCTACCAATATATATAAATAAATACTATTTTTTTTTATTAAAGTTCTAATATGATATGGTAAAATTTTAAACTACTCAACTACAAACAAAGATGTATGTCAAATATCAAAGTCCATACTAAAGAATCAATGAAAAGAGGTCTAAAATCCAAATTAGGGATAATGAATTTTTATTCTCTTTCTTACTTTTGTACAATCCTAATTCAAATAATTTTATTCAGAAAATGTCTTTTTAGATGACTTAATATCTAAAGTTGATATTTGACAACCATGCTTTGAATTTAAACTATACCTACAACATCTTATACTGCAACATTCTTAAGAATGCCATAGAATGACAATGCATCATAAGATGGTAGTTGAAGCCCACTTACTTGCATATGCACATACAAATCTAAAATTATTGAGGACCACCAAACTTCAAATTAAAAATTTGTTAGTTTGGTTGAAAGATCTTTGATATCTTTCAAGTATCATATACTATTTTAGTTTTCTAACTAATTTTTTGATGACATATATTATATTTATGTTTATATTATATTATATTATATTTCTAAATCATTCAATAATCTATTCTATAAAAATATAACTCGACCAAAATTATTATACACTTTACATTGTTAATTCCATTAATTCTAAAAATTAGTGAATTGCCTGACACTGTTAGGGACATAGTCCTTAGACCTTTCTAGAGACAAGTTTCTAGAACCTTCTAAAAAGAAGTCTCTAGAAACTTCCAGAAGATTCCTTCAATATTCTCTTAGAATATTCTTCAAAGATTCTCTAAAGATTCTTTAAAGATTCTCTTAGAAGGCTCTAGAAGATTCTTAGAATATTCTAGTAGATTCTAAGAAGTTACTTGAGAAGCTTCCTAGCTCTTGGGTAGTTGCTCGAGAAGCTTCATAGTTCTTGGGAAGCTTCTTGATGCGCTTCCTTAGAACCATAGGCCAGTAGTATATATAGGAGTCGAGGCTAAAGAGTTCTTCAGTCTCGACAACACATCTCTTGGAGTTCTAGCTCACCTTTCTGGTGTTGTTCTTGTACTCATCTGTTTAATCTAGTTCTGCCACTTCTTCTTGAACTTCTTATTAGATTTCAAGTCTGTATTTTGTGTCCGTGACAGTTTGTCGAGACTACACTAACTTGAGATATCAGAGCTAGTTCTTTCTTAGTAGAGTGTAGATTACCCCTCTACTTGAAGGTATACTAGCATTTTTTAGAGGTTGCGGATTACCCTCCTCTAAACTGATATTTTCTCAATCACAATATCAGAGCTTAGTTCTTTGAGGCAGAGAGTGGACTACCCCTTTCCTTGGAGATACTTGAGCGTTCTAAGGGTTGCGGATTACCCTCTCTTGGACTGATATTAATTCCTTCTTTTTATTTAGCATAGCTAGTAGAAAAGACTGTTAACATCGATTTCAGAGGTTTGCCTTCTTGATAGAGTGCGGATTACCCCTCTTCTCGAAAGCATTGAGGCATTTTTAGAGGTTGCGGATTACCCTCCTCTAAAACTGAAATCGTTTAGTATTTTTTTTCTTTTCTTTTCTCCGAGTAGGTTTTAGTGACAGGTAGTGCTACAATTTTCTCCAAGAGACTTAGCAATTTCTTCTTCTCTCAAAATTTTTCCATCTATTCTCTAAATATGGAAGTAGACCAGGTCATAGACAGTGCATCTCTACAAGTAGACAATAGAGTGGCAACTCTTGCAGATCTTCAAGCTCTTATGAATAATGTACGAAAGGAGATTGCATTTCTTTGCAATCCAAGTAAAGAACCTCAAATTGATCTAGTGACCGAAGAAGCTAGACGCGAAATTCATAGCCTACAACAAGAAATTATTCGACTGAGAGAAGCAAGACATGTGTCACATACGACCCCTATAGATACTTCAAGGATTAGTACGAAAGAACCAAAAGCGAGTATGCCACACAAGTTTGACGGAACAAGAGCCAACTTTCGAGGTTTTGTGCAACAAGTACGGCTTTACCTATGCCTATATCCTTCTCGTTATCCGAATGGATTTACCCAGGTTGCTTTCATAGGTACTCTTCTATCAGGAAATGCTCGCTCTTGGTTTGCTCCACTATTGGAGAAGGATTCTCCAATATTGTACGACCTAGAGGCTTTCATAGAGAGACTTACTGTTGCGTTTGGAGATAGCGATCGAGAAAGAGTGGCTGAAAGAATGATACAAAATCTGCAAGAAGGATCACGTTCTGCTGCAATCTATGCTGCAGAATTTCAACAGCTTACATGTGATCTTGATTGGAATGATAAGGCGTTCATGACACGATTTTGATATGGACTGAGAGATGATGTCAAGAACTTATTGATCACCATGCCTAAGGCGGATACTTTAGAAGAACTTATATCTCAAGCAATTATTTGTAACAATCGCCTCTTTGAATTACGACAAGAAAGACGATCAGGCTGGAGAA